CTCTCCTCCATCTTTTCTTATCCTTTTCCTCAACCCTTTATCAGGTTCACTAAATGTACTACACTGAAGTGCCCTAAAAGACTTATCTGAGAGGAGACCATTTCTAAAGGCAAGGGACCGCCAGGCCTGTGGTCCTGAGTTATGGTTTGAAGGTGTCTCCCAAAAGCTCCTTTGTTAATACAGGAAGATTCAGAGGTAAAAAAAAAAAGATTAGATCATGAGAGCTATGACCTAATCGGTCTATCCTAGTTTGAAGATACTGACTGGGTGGTTAACCGTAGGCAGATGGGCTGTGACTGGAGGAGGCAGGTTACTGGGGCATGCTCTGCAAGGGTGCATCTCCCTATAGTCCCTCTACTTCCTTTCTACCATGAGATGAACTTTCTTCTGCTGCTTTTCCACCATGATGCTCTTCTTCACCTTGGGCCTAGAACAATGAAGCCGGTCCACCATGGACTAAACCTCTAAAACCATGAGCCAAAATGAAGTTTCCCTCCTCTAAGTTGTTCTTATTGGGTTTGTCACAGTGATGAAAAACTGACTAACACATCCGGTGAGCAGAGTTTCTGCAGGCCTTGAGCACAGCCCTGCCTGCTAGCACAACAAGCCCATTTCTTCTTTGGTAGCTGCAGTTAAATCTTTGCCCTCATTACTGTCGCCAGTTGTTATCCATTTTGAAGTCTGTATTTACTAAAGTATGTTTACAGAATGGAGCATCTTTGGGTAAAATATGAGACGACATCCCCTGCCCTTTCTGCCTCATTGTGAGGATCACTGTGAAGATCAAAAAGCAGATGAATGGGGGCCAATTCACCAGAATTCACTTGGTTAGAAATGATTCTTGAGCTAGAATTGGTCTATTTTAGAACAAAGCAAATTAAAATAAAAATTCCCATAGCAAGGAATTTTTTTAAATAAAGAATCTTCCAGAGATATCTTGGGGTGAGCTCATATTCAGCCTTATCCCTCTGCCTTCTATCCCTGTGGTAAAAAAATTCCTTTTCAGAATCACCATTTAAAGTCATTATAGAAAAATTATGCCTGTAAATATTGTTTGTTTTCTTCTGTTTACTTACTAAGGCAGAAACTTAATATATTTTAGGGAATTTTTAAGCAAAGTTTGTGCTTTAAGAGATCTTACTTGTTAATCTTCATTTAATCTGAAAATCCAATTACCTAAAATAACACCCCCAACCAAGCTTTCTTATTAATCTAGGCTTAACTGCTTAACTACCACACAATGCCTGGATCCTTTAATTTTGAGATTTTTATTCAAAAAGCCTGTTTCTTCCTATATAGCCTGTATTGCACAAGCTGCCAATCAAACCTTGCTCTTTGAATCCTATAAATGTAAATAGCTTTAATTAGGATGAATGGCCGCAGGCTGGGGAATCATGACAGGCACATTTCCTCAATCATTCCCCTAGTGGCATTTTAGCAATATGTCCCTATCCACAGATTCCATTTTGCTATGGAAAACCCACAAGGGCTAACTGTAAGAAGAGTAAATAGGAATTCAATGTATACATCCAAATGGGGGCAGATGGGAATGAAGGGAAGAGAACATGGTCACTATAATTCATTAAAGCACAAATGTATTCTGTTGTCATAAGTCCATAAGCAGAATCACTCCCTATAAAATGTCAAGCTTTGAGTCACTGTGCTATAAGCTTTCTGCAGGTAGTAGCTGTGTAGTTCTCATTCCCAGTTAGATCCTTGGTACCTGGCACAGTATCTGGTCCACATGGGACAGATGTCTATAAACATCTGTTGCATGAATGAACAACTGTATAGTTCAAAAGTGGGAGGGATGAGATGCCTTAACTTTGTCCCAAAAGTACACACAACTCCCAGGCAGAGGATGCATGAACTGAGGTGAGGATGGTAATTAAAATCTGTTATTTAATTCTGGAAGCCACAGGGCTCTCTAGACCTTGAAAAGTTGGAGAGAAATTGGAAAGAAAATAAAAATGATGAAGGATTTATAGAGAAGGTGGAAGAGAGAGGACTGAGAAATTGAAATGGAAAGATGCTAAGAAGCAATGAAATAGACTGTGTGTACGTGCATGTTGAGGTGGGGTGTGAAGAGAGAGAAGGAAAGGAAGAAAGGAGAAGGCGGCATTGCCACAGAACTCTATAGAACAGTGAAAAAGGAAGCCGCTTTTTCAAGTCTTTCTCTCAAAAAGGTGTCAATGCAAAGTTAGTTCTGTTTCATACAAAGAGGACAAATAGGACGATTTAAACCACACTTACAGACTTGGTAGATATGAGAGAAGAGGCTCAAAGGAAGTGGCATTCTTTTTCTTCTAAATGGTGACAGCTTATGAGGGATTAGTGATGAGGTGAGAAGAGAAAGTGTCCTGGGAAACCTACGAAAGGTTAATTCCTTGGTGTATCTAGGTGGAGGTTATAAGACCTTAGAGCTGCAAGAACAAGGCAATGTGATAATTAGAGATAGATTAGACAGACAGACAGATAGATAGATAGACAGATGACAGATTGAACGAACACACACACACACACACACACACACACACACACTGCTTACGGAAGGTATTTTAAATCTTTGTGGAGGGGAAATTTACAAACTATGGCAAAAGCAAACTATGCATTTCCTTTTGACCCAATTTCACAAAATTTGTGCCTAATGAATAATTTGGGAGCAGCACCAAGATTATTCCACAGAACCAGAAACAACATACATATCCAGTAATAGTACACTGGTTTAACTGTCATATACTCACACATTAGAAGAGTAGGCAGCCATTAAATGTGTTGTTCTGGAAGAAGGGGCAATGATTGGGGAGAAAGGTGTGCAATTTAAGGTGGGGAAAGCAAGGTCCAAAACAATATATACTATATAATCTCCATTTTTGAAGAAATAATTTTATATATACAAAATAGAAATTTAAAAAAATAAGGATATATAGTAAGAGGTTAATAGTTTTTTTTTTTGTTGTTGTTGTTTTAGGGGAAGGATTACAAGTTTACTTTCTTTATAAATCATGTTCTTAAAAATCTGGTCTAAGTAACAGGTTTGCAATGAGAAGTTATTTCAAATGACTAAAACAAAAAAAATTTCTGTGGGTTATCATGTGTGTTCTGATTGGTGTCTTCTACATAACCAGCTGCTCATAAATCTAAAAACAATTTTCTGAAGGTCCACATGCTATTCCATGGAAGGGTGAAGATGACAGAGCTTTGGGAGACAAAGGCTATTGCCTAGCATTGTATAGCCGCAGGTCTTTATTTAGTAAATCTTTTGTCTTGTTTATGAACCACACCAGCCTCATTTTCCTTTTCCCACCATAAAACATGACATTTTTCTTACCAATTTCATTTCAGGTTCAAGCAAGAATCAGTCTAGAAGGAAAGAGAGGGAAGGTGGGAGGGAAGAGGGTGTGCCACTTTGCTGGCAGAAACACAAAGAACAAATAGAAATATTGCTTGATTCAAGAAGACTTTTAAATCACATTTAGTTGGAAGTGTATCCCATGGCCTCCCTTTCCTCGGGTGTCTCCAATCAGCCATTTGCAGAAGAGTCCTTGGCGAGAATCTCTAATGTTTCCTGCTTTTCAGCTGTAGAGAAGCAAGGAGACCTGAGGAGGAAACACTTACAGATGTGAGCGACTGGGATGGGGGCCGCCTCCCTGTAGCTTTTGGTCTGCTTGTGGTTGGGTGACTGAGTTTCTCAGTAGAGGATACCACGGAGTCAAAACCTTCTAGGTCTAAAACAAAAATAAAATCAATTGTTACAGGGAAAAACAGGAGTGAGAAAGGCTTTTACATTATGTCACAAGTACCTCTTTTCTTAATAATCATCCTTTCCATCTGGGTTATCCTTCATCTTTTACAAAGGCCATTTACATCCTTTGGCCATTCAATAAATATGATTCAAACTGAATGAAATAATCATTTCCTTCTTAGTTTCACAAGCTAGTAAGCAGGAGAAAGAAACATGATTTTTCTTTTTCCCTTCAATAACTACATCCATAAATCTTTAAAAAGCTATAAAAAGAAGATTAAAGGAGGAATTCTCTTTTTCCACAAATCCCAGTCCATTTTAGTGGATAAAAACATTCTTGCAGTCTCAACACAAAAGGCAGTTATCACAAGGTACAATAGCCACAGGCAAATGAATGCTGGTCATTGATTCCAAAAGACAAGAGGGGACAGGCTCCTCCTCTGCTTGTTAATCAGTAGTGTGATTATCAGCTGTCACCCTGATGTTGGTCTGTAAACTCCTTAGAGAGAAAACCAAACTTCTACTTCTCCAAATAACTCACAGAGCCCAACCCCTTTCTGTTTTCAGAGTCATTATTATCTTCTGCAGTTGTCAGTCTGTTCATCCATTATTCCCTTGTCATTGAGCAACTACTCTGTCACCCAGAGCAAAAGATCCTGAGGCTATACCAGTGAACATGGCAGAAATGGGCCCTGCCTTTGGAGAGCTTACATCCCAGTGACTGATGCTCAGAGAAACAGATCATTCATGTGTCTAACACATGTCTGGAGGGAGGCCTTTGACTAGACTTTGCCAACCTCTTGAATGAATGATCATACCAATGGGTTACGCAGTTCTGTAGAGTTCTGGGGATCTACAAACCAAGTACAGATGTGTGTGGGATGCTCAGAGGAATGGCTAACAGAAAGGGACTGACCCTGAGCACCATTATTGCTGTTGACTAGGACAATACCATTTCTTTGCCACAAGTAGACTGTGTTTTAAATGCTATGGCATACATGACCTTCCCAAACCATTCCCCACTCTCCTTTCTAACACAGCCCCACTTTTGTTTTAGGACAATGTGCCCAGTCCTATGACTGGTCTAGAGACAGCTATGTAGCCCAGTTTGGGTCACTGGGAAATAAAGGTAAGTCTACTGAGCTTCTAGGAAAGAGATTTCCTCTCTGTTTAGAAAGGGATGAGTGAGAAGAAGGTCTTTTGTGTTATATCCCTCTGCCTTCTGACTTGGGAAGCTGTTGGGTGAGGAGAGGATGCCTGGAGTTATAGCAGCCAACTTGGGACCACAAGAGGAGGCATAGCCATGAGGGGAGATCTTGAAGATGGAAGAGTGGAAAAATGGAAAGAGCTTGGGTAACTGACAATCCCAGTGACCTGCCCACCAACCACCAACCATGGAATGACCAAGTGCCTAGACTTCTTGTCATGTGATTTTAACAAACCCCTATTATTTTGGTGATTTTTTTTTTATCAGATAGTCTGTATTTGCAGCTGAAAGTATCCTAACTGCCATAACTGCAAATACGCTGGCTCAGGGCAGAGAAGTTAAAAATAAAATTATGTGTGCCCCCCCCCATATTTGGGGGAGAACTTTTTTGCTCATGGTTATAATAGTTAGGCTGTGTGACAGCTTTACTCTATTAATGAATAGGCAGGTGTTATCTGCAAACTATTTCCTTTAGTGGACTATGCAAAACTAAGCATAAGGCAATGGTCCGGAGAAGCCATTAAAATATACCTGGAATTATATTAAGTGACATTATTCTAGCACCTGGTGAATGAATAATAACTCAAATAATTACTCTTATCAGGGCAAGATAAAAATAATCAAAGGTTAACCACTTGCAAAGACAGTTTGAAGAAAATCATCAGTGGTACCTGGAGGCCAAGCAGAAGCCCATTAGTATTTAGCACCTAGGTGAGAGTCATAAAGGGACCCACTTCTCCAGCCAGCTCCATGGGGTGCCATGAAGATCTGGGTCAGGGGAGGAGCTGGCTCACTAGACTAGTCCCTTTCAGGGGCCTTCCCTTTAAACAATCTTATTTTCTTAACAGGTTCTTCTTCAGATTCTACCCTTACCTCTACCAACTCCCTGTTGTCTGAAATGGAAATTTCCCATTACACAGGTGGATTGATGCAAAAGGCCATTAACTGACATTAATATTCCTCAATCTTTCTATTTAGTTAGTTTTTTAATCAGTGCATTATAGTTATACATAATAGTGGGGTTTATTTTGACACAGTTATACATACATGGAATATAATTTGCTCCATTTCAACTCCTAGGACTTCTACACTCCCCCTTCCCCGCCCCTTTCCTCTACTCTATTGAGCTTCCTTCTATTTATTTATTGGTTTGTTTTATTTTCACTTTTAGTGCATTATAATTATACATAATAGTGGGGTTTTTTTAGACATAGTATTGGTGCATTTAGATATACATAAAAGTAGAATTCATTGTGATATATTAATACAAGTACATAGTATAATTTGGTCAATTTCATTCCACAGTTCCTTCTCCTTTCCTATCCTTCCTCTCTTCCCCTCCCTCACTGTTTGAAATTAGTTTTTCTCTGATCACAAAAGTAATAAATACTCAATACCTGATTTTTTAAAAAAAGAAGTGAATTTGTTAACAACAAAAGAAGGTCAACTATAATCGTATCACATTGGGAAAACTACTGTTTTTTTAAAGTCCTATTCCTCTAGGACTTTATAAAATAGAGAGCATAGCTCATATCATATGTAATATTGCATTCTGCTTATTTCACTTACCCTTATATGCTATGTCTCTAAAAAATCTTCACAAATATTTTGATCATTGTAATAATCTATAGCAGTGCCACTCATCATTTATTTACTCAATGCTGCATTGTTGGATAATTAGTGTCCAAATCATTCCCCCTCTTATGTTTTGCTATTACAGAAAAATGCTGCACAAATATCCTTTCATGTACTCTACATACAATGAGTTTAGCAGGTTATCTATGAAGATCCCTGACCGCTCTGGGGAAAAGGGAGTAAGGCCCAAGACAGGGTGGTTTGTTGGTGGGGGTGAAGGTGGTTGGGGACGGCAGGTAGCACAATGGAAAGAGGAAGCCTGGGGCAGGGGAGAGGACAAGATTGAAGAGAAAGCCTGAGGAGCAGTTGCTGAGCAGACAGACAGCAGAGGAGGTAGAAGAAAAGGCTGTATAAAAGTTCCAATGAATAGGTCATAGCCAAGGGCCTTGGCTGGGGGCTCTTGGGACTGAGCTGGACAAGCTAGATCATCACCCTATCCAAGAAACTAAAACAAGCTTTGGAGGCAAATACTGAGCAGGGTAAAGTGATTAAAGAACAATTAAAGATTAATTAACTGTTTTTCCATCTTGACTGCACAGCAGACTTACCTGGACAATTAAACACCCCCCCCCCACACACACATACTCCTTGTCTTTGAATCCTATTCCTCGATTGATTCAACTGGTCTGGTGTACAGCCTGGGAATGGATAGGTTTACATTTCCCCAGGTGATACGAACCATAGCAAAGTGTGAAAAGCACTGCTGTAGCAGAGGTGGAGGTTTAGAGGAGGAAGGGATAAGGAAGGATTTGACCAAGTGGAGGTATGGAGAGGGGAGGCCACCAGGTGAATGGTGGAACATTCTAGGGTGTTCCCAGTGAGTGAAGAGCCTGCTGGGAAAAATTGTAGGGGGTAATCTCATCATTATGATGGGTCTTCCAATGTCAGGCTGAGGAGTGCTGGCCTGATTTGAGGGGTGACATAGTTCCTGGAGCACTGGATGAAAGTGGTGGCTAAAAGCTCAGGTGATTGGCAACAGGTCAGGCACACGGCAGCTGGAGAGAGGAGTAGACCCAGCAAGCAGAATAGCATGGGACAAGGACATTAGAGTGAGAGGAACAGATGGGACAGTCTTAGGCCCACCTTGGGTTGGGCTTGGCATGTCCACTGGCACATAGGGATGGCCAAGTTCACATCAGGAAACTTTTGCTTCAACTCTATGGAGGACAGCCTCTTCACTCTCCACCCACCCTTCTCATCCTACTCAAATAATTAAGTCCACCTGGGAGCTTAGGGTTTGACAATGTTTGAGGTGGCATTCTATAATAAATTATGCTTCCAGAATGACTCAGAGGCATGGTGTCTATCACCCACACTTAAGCTGTGAGCCCCAGGAGGACAGGAACTTATCTTTGCATTCTCAAAGTCTAGCTCATTCCTGAGGGGAAAAACACCCGGATATTCTGTTAGCGAAGGAATGAAAGAATAAATGAACAAACCATCTCAGGGATAGCTCTTAGTCTAGGAGTATAGCTTAGAGAGGTGGCTCCTAGTGGGACATGAGGCAGCAGTGCCAGGGCAGAAGGCAGCATTCTGTGCCACATCTCCAGGGAAAGCTTGGCTGCCCATTTCACTTTATTGGCTAAGGTCTGCACTAAATAGACCCATGCATGTTGGCACCTGGCTACACTTAGCAAGCATCTCCAAGACAGATGGCTGAGATGACTGCCTCATTTCTGTCATTGAGAGTAAGAGGAGGGTCAGACTCCCTCAGGAGGAGCCTCTCTTAGCCTCTTAATGAACATTTCTACCAAGTTTAACTTTCTACATTTTTAGCTTTAAAGAACATTTTTTTTTTTTGAAACAAGAACCAAACTGAACTGCCATAAAGACAAAGATGTGGGCTGTGGATGTCACTCAGTGGTAGAATTTGCCTGGCATGCATGAGGCTTTGGGTTTGATCCCTAGCCCCACAACAAAATAAAACAAGACAAAAAATCATGCACCACATATGAGGTCACTTGCTGAAAAAGGAACCTCATGTTATACTTCCACAGACCACAAACTGCAACATAATTCTGCTTTCTGACAGTAAAGGGGACAAACTCTTCAATGCTGTCACATAACTTTTCAGTGGCCCAGAGCATGCTCCTCATGACTGCGGCCATGGCAGCTGTGATTAAGGTAGAATTTCCATGACT